ATTAAAAGTACAACATACCCTGTTAGGAACACAGATTTGAGCCAGGCTGTCTGGTTTGAACCTGAGCTCCACTGTTAATTAATTGTGTGACCTTGAGCAAGTTACTCGACTTCTTGCCTTACTAGTGCCTCATCTGCAAGGTGGGGATGCCATGGTTATGGTGGCATCCGGTAGGGTTTTTATGAGGATCACCAAGGTTAACGTGCACCAAGCCCTGAGAAAAGTGCCAGGCACTCAGTAAGCTCTGTAGCCACATTAGCTGTTACTAGTTTCCAGGTCCCCAAACCATGCAGTATAGGATATGGAAGTTTGGCACAAAAATTGCATCAACTTCACAGTTTTGCCAAGTGTCAACTCGTTTTAGAGCATCTGTCCAAGACCTGTGCTAGGCCCAGAGAACACAGAGATGACCAGCTCCACTCCTCCACCAGGAAATCCTGAGTCTGATACAGACATGAGCAAATAAACCAGTAGAAGGCAGCATGGGGAATATTACACATGTGTTATTAACTTGAAAAATTATAATCCTCAAGGAATAACCTCAAGTAATAATGTATTGTTAAGTGTATTTGTTTTCTATTGCTATGTAATGAATTATCACGGATTTGAAAAGCACAACATATCCAATCATTTATTCATTCATTCAACATAAAAATGAATTCCTGGGGCTTCCCCGGTGGCGCAGTGGTTGAGAATCCGCCTGCCAGTGCAGGGGATATGGGTTCATTCCCTGGTCCGGGAAGATCCCACGTGCCATGGAGCAACTAAGCTCGTGTGCCACAACTACTGAGCCTGTGCTCTAGAGCCCGTGAGCCACAACTACTGAGCCTGCGTGCCGCAGCTAAAGCCCGCGCACCTAGAGCCCATGCTCCACAACAAGAGAAGCCACTGCAATGAGAAGCCTGCGCACCGCAACAAAGAGTAGACCCCGCTCGCCGCGCGCAGCAACGAAGACCCAACACAGCCATAAATAAATAAATAAATAAGAATATCTGTTGTGTCAGAGACGTGGAGAGCAGGCAGAACAAAATATAGTTGACCCTTGAACAACGTAGGGGTTAGGGACACCAACCGCCTCCGCACCCCTACCCTCTGGCCCCCGTGCAGTCGAAAACCCACATGTAACTTTTGACTCTGCCAAAATTTAGCTACTAATAGCCTACTGTTGAATGGAAGCCTCACTGATAACAATCAGTTAACACATATTTTGTATGTTATATGTATTGTATACTGTATTCTTACAATAAAGCTAGAGAAAAGAGAAAGTTATTAAGAAAATTATAAGGAAGAGACTTCCCTGGTGGAGCAGTGGTTAAGAATCTGCCTGCCAATGCAGGGGACATGGGTTCAAGCCCTGGTCCAGGAAGATCCCACATGCCATGGAGCAACTAAGCCCATGTACCACAACGACTGAGCCCTCATGCTGCAACTACTGAAGCCTGCGCACCTAGAGCCCGTGCTCCACAACAAGAGAAGCCACCGCAATGAGAAGCCCGTACACCGCAACAAAGAGTAGCCCCCGCTCGCTGCCACTAGAGAAAGCCTGCAAGCAGCAATGAAGACCCAATGTAGCCAAAAATAAATTAAAATTAAAAAAAAGAAAATTATAAGGAAGATAAAATACCTTTACAGTACTGCACTGTATTTATGAATACAGTACATTTACATTGTTTACAAGATGGGTCATCTATCAGTACCTACATCAATATTGTCTTACATAATATAAAGCACTGTAGATATTATATGTATTACTAACACTAGACATCAAAAATAAAAAGATAATGTGAAAAAGAGATTCATATTTATTTACAGGTGTAACGATTCATGCGTCTCTAACAAAGAAGCAGCAATATGATTGCATTATTGTAGCCTAGTGTAACTGCTAGACTGTTTGGATGCCTTCGGTGTTAACTGTGGGGCTCTGGATGGCCAGGGGCATTGTCCAATTTCAAAAGAACTTTAGAAGTCAGTCCCTTCCTGGCAAGGAACTTCCTGACTTCAGGGACAAAGCATCAGTGAAACCGATTCAGAAAAAGGGTTTTCATGGTCCAGTCCTTCTTGTTGTACAGCCAGAAGACTGGCAGCTGGTGTTTACCTTTTCCCTTCAAGGCTTGGGGGTTAGCAGCTTTATAGATGAGGGCAGTCCTGATCATGCATCTGACTGCATTTGCACAAAACAGAAGAGTTAGCCTATCCATTCCTGCCTTAAATCCTGGTGCTCACTCCTTTTCCTTACTAATAAATGTCCCTAGTGGCATTTTTTTTACCAGAATAGGACAGTTTTGTCTGTATTAAAAACCTGTTCAGGCAGATATCCTTTCATATCAATGATTTTTCTTAATGTCATCTGGGAACTCGTCTGCTGTATCTTTTTCAACACAGTTTCTCCTGTTATCTTGACCTTTTTTAAGCCAAACCCCTTTTTAAAATTATCAAACCATCCTTTACTGTCATTGAATTCTCCAGCATTAGATCCATCACCTTCCTTTTGCTTTAGATTGTCATATAATCTTTGCTTTTTCTCAAATCATATTAGTCTATAGGTACGCCTTTCTTATAGCAATCCTGCACCCACATAAAAGCTGCATTTTTTTTTTTTTTTTTTTTTGTGGTACGCGGGCCTCTCACTATTGTGGTCTCTCCCATTGCGGAGCACAGGCTCTGGATGCTCAGGCTCAGTGGCCATGGCTCACGGGCCCAGCCGCTCTGCGGCATGTGGGATCTTCCCGGACTGGGGCATGAACCCGTGTCCCCTGCATCGGCAGGCGGACTCTCAACCACTGCGCCACCAGGGAAGCCCAAAACTGCATTTTTAATACGAGATAAAAAGGTACTTTACCAAATGTGTGAGGTTTTTGCACCTGCTGGCACAGCTGCAGTGATGGCTTCATGAATTTCCTTTTGTTTTTTTTTTACAATGGTCCTTACCCTGGATTCATTTATCTTGAAATGGGCAACTGCAGCTGCATACCTCAATCTATGATACATACCAAGCATTTCAACATTTTCTTGTAATTTTCTGTGCTTCTTGGAAGCACTTCCAGCATCACTAGTGGCACTTCCTATGGGTCCCGTGGTGTTATTCAGAGTTTACAGTATTACCGTAAACATGAAAAATACGCAAGACTTGAGAGATCAGTTTTTACTGTGATACACAATTTATTGGAGAAACGAAATGGTCGTGTGGCGATGATTAGTGTCACATGGCATTTTAAGCTGATACTCCCAACACTTGAACTCACTGCAGTAGCAACCGGAGGTGGCTATGAAATTACTACAGTTAATTTTATGCAGTTATGATTTAATTACTGCATCTTTACGTTTGTTTACATTTCTCTCAGCTGCAAATTGTGCCATAGCAATGTTTGTGTGCCTAAGTTTTGATAAATTTTAACTTTTTGTAATAGATTTGTGTGTATTTTATGGTAGTAAATGATAAAAATAGACTAGTATGTACATATATTTTATGCATTCATGACATACCTAACTTTTTCTTAATGATTTTGATATTTCTTGACTGTGAGGTTCTTCTGTGAGTTTTTTCAAATTGTCACAAATCTCCAAAATTTTTTCCAGTGTATTTATTGAAAAAATCCACATATAAGTGGACCTGTGCAATTCAAACCCTTATTGTTAGGGTCAGCTGTATAAAATGGCCTTTTGGAGACTATAGAATGAGAACAAATCCACCAGGGAAGGAATAGGCTTTGGAATGTGAAAAACTTTATTTAATTGAGGTATAATTGACATATAACATTGTGTTAGTTTCAGGTGTACAACATGATTTTTGGCTATATGTATACACTGCAAAATGATCACCACAGTAAGTCTAGTTAACATCCATCCTCATACACAGTTACAAATTTTTTCTTGTGATGAAAACTTTTAAGATTTACTGTCTTAGCAACTTTCACATATGCACTACAGTATTAACTATAGTCGACATGCTGTACATTACATAGTTATGACTTATTTATTTGGAAGTTTTGTGCCTTTTGACTCCCTCCGCTCATTTTGCCTCCACCCCTGCCTCTGCCTCTGGCCTCCAACACTGTTCTCTACATCTGTGAGCTCAGGTTTTGTTTGTTCTTTAGATACCACATATAAGTGAGATGGTACAGTATTCGTCTTTCTCTGACTTATTTCACTTAGCATAATGCCCTCAAAGTCCATTCATGTCATTGCAGATGGTAAGATATCATTCATTTTTTATGGCTGAATAATATTCTATTGTATATATGAACCACATTTTCTTTATCCATTCACCCATCGATGGACACTTAGGTTGTTTCCATATCTTGACTATTGTAAATAATGCTGCAATGAACATGGGGGTGCATTTAACTTTTTGAAATAGTGTTTTCATTTTTTTGGATAAATACCCAGAAGTGGCATTGTTGGATTATATGGTAGTTCCATTTTTAAATTTTTTGAGGAACCTCCATATTGTTTTCCATAGCCACTGCACCAATTTACATGGAATATGAAAACTTTTAACTTTCAAGAGGGCATAGATATAACAGAGGACCTGAATACCTGTGGGTATTACAAATTTATTTGTATATATATATATATATATATATATATATATATAGTGTTATATATATACGTATGTGGTTTTTATATATGGTTCTTTAAATTTTTAGATATATGTATTATAATCTGATGTGGTCAATTGAACAGTTTGGTCACATTATCATAAAATACTATAGTAGGGGGGCTTCCCTGGTGGCGCAGTGGTTGAGAGTCTGCCTGCCGATGCAGGGGACACGGATTCGTGCCCCGGTCCAGGAGGATCCCACATGCCGCGGAGCGGCTGGGCCCGTGAGCCATGGCCGCTGAGCCTGCGCATCCGGAGCCTATGCGCCGCAACGGGAGAGACCACAACAGTGAGAGGCCCGCGTACTGCAAAAAAAAAAAAAAAAAAAAAAAATTACTATAGTAAATAAGCATGCTAAATTTCTTCTTGTTCAGCTATCTTTTATGTGCTTTTGTTTCAGCAACTGAAGATCACAAGGAAAAACATTCTGGAATAAGAGAATTTGGAGCACCTCAGTTTTCTAACTCTGAAAATGGTAAATTATAATTTCACTATATATATGGATAATTTATTATTTAAAATTCTTTAGTTTTTATTTAATATTTATTTCCATAACATGAAAATCTGTATAGGTCTCTACACAGGAATGCAATCCTATACTTCTACTTTGTAGCACATGCCAATGGAAATTAAATAATTGTTTATTCTGTATGTTTCGGCCCTGTGGAATGTATCTCTGTAACTGTGAGGACATGTGGCACTGTGTTTATCTTACTATCTCATGTGTCTCTACCATCCAGCAATGTAGGCACTCAGTAAATACTACCTTGAATGTCTCTGCCAAGCATTGCAAACATTTTCTCCTAGTTTGTCTTTCGACTTTTCCTATAGTTGCTTCTTGCCATGAAAAAGTTTTAAACATTTTATGTAATCAAATTTATTAATCTTTTATTTTATTGGATTTGGTTTTTGTCATATGCAAAACCCAGGTTAGAGGAGTTTATGTTTTCTTCTAATATTTGTATAGTTTTATTTTTTATATTTAGATCTCCAATTCATTTGGAGTTTATTCATGCAATATGGCGTTAACAATGGATTAAATGTTATCTTTTTGCAAATGACTGTCCTTTATATTATTTTTTTAAATGCCATGTTTGCCCCAGTAATTTGAGATAACTTCCAATCATATGCTAGATTTCTATATGTATTTGACTCTATTTCTGGACCTTCATAGAAACTTTTTTGTGTGTTTTTGTATCTGGTGAGACTAGTATCTTCCTCTTCATTTCATTATTTTCTTAACTATTCTTGCATGTTTATTTTTCAATATGAGTTTTATATCAAACTGTCTAGCTCCATAAGAAAACTCATTGATACTTTTATTGTGATCACATTAAATATGAAAACTGACAGCTTGCTGATGTCAAGACATCCTAAGCAGAAACAAAGGGCATCTTTCTATTAAAGTTTACTTGTCTATCTATCAGATATAGTTTTTTCTTAGAGGTTTTGAACATTTCTTGTTAAGTTTATTTCTGAATATTTTATTTCTTTTATTGCCGTTACAAATGACATTTTCTTTCCATTTTATCTTTTAACTGGTTATTATTTTGTGTATTGATACAGTTTTTGCATGTTAACCATATATCCTGCTACCTTGCTGAACTTGCTTATAGTTTGAGTTAGTTTTATCATTGATTTTCTGGAACATTCCAGGTATGCCATCATGTCTTCTGCAAATAGAGATAGTCCTGTTTTTTCTTTATCAATTCTTGTGACTGTAATTAATTTCTTTTGTTTAATTGCATTGGTTACTACCACCAGAACAATGTGAAATAGTATTGTTCCTGATCTTAGTGTCAATGCCTGTACTGTTTCTGAATTAATTAAGATGCTAGCTTTTGGACTGAGGTATATATTTTACAGTGTTAAGTATCCATACATTCCTGCTTTCTCAAGAGTTTTTATTAGGAATGATTGTTGAATTTTGCCAACAGGTTTTTCAGCATCTATGCCCTGTGAAAACATCTAGGCCTGTAATTTTTTGTGTTTTCTTCTCTATGGAAATTGATCTGTTTAAGCTTTCTATCTGTACTGGGACCAATTTTAGTAAATTATATTTTTCTCAGAAATTATTCATTTTGTCTAGGTTTTCTAATTTATTTACATAGAGTTGTACAAAATCTCTTGATTTTTTAACAGCTTTATCAAGGTATAATTTAAGTACCATAAAATTCACCCATTGTAAGTATAAAATTCAATGACTTTTAGTAAATTTATAGAGTTCTGCAACCATCACAATTGACTATTAGACTATTCCCATTACCCCCAACTTCTCTCATGCTTGTTTGCAATTAATCCTTCTCCTACTCCCCCACTCCCGCCAGGCTAGAGCGAATTTTCATCTGGCTGAATTGAGAAGTGGGTAGAAGAGAGTGGTTCTTAGTTCAAGTCTTTCATTCTTTCTAAATTTTAATAGATTTTCTTGAGTAAATGTTTCTACACTTGGTGTGTATCCTTGGAACAACTTCCAGAGACTTTAAATGGTTGTTTTTAAAATCATTTTCACCAGTTACTTAAAACTGACGTGCGGGTCCCTAGACCTCATCATTCTATCATGCTGGAAGCCCCTATCTTTCATTTTTATTGATAATGATAAATATTAATGATAAATATTTTATTGATATTTAGGGTCATGATTTTTCATGTTAGTTGTTATTTAAATATCCCATGGATTATGATATGAAATGTCTTCTTTATCATTTTTCAGAAATTCCATTACCCTTCCAACCAAGAATTGTTTAATAGAAGGTATAAAAATGTGCAAGTGGAAGAGATTTTTATCTTTCTGCTTTCATTAAAAAAGTTGTCTCATTTTATTGCATTATAATCAGAGTATGTTGTTCGTAATATTTCTATTTTAAGAAACTGATTTGTGTGTGTGCCTTAGTTATAATTGATTTCTGTGAATTTTCAGTGTGTGCCTGAGAAAAAGGTACATTTTCTATTAGGGTTTGCTTATATTCAAGAGTAACTACCGTGTTTTTTTATGCTGTTTAGATCTTTTATATCTTTACTTTTGTCCTCTTGGCCTGTTTTTTTACTGAGAGTGGTATATTAAAGTCTCCTATTTTTAATTTGTTTCAGTTTCTCCTCGCATTTCCTGTTTCTGTCTTACATAGATGGTTGCTTAATTATTTTATACATAAATATTCATAACTATTAATATTTTCATTGTGAAATGTGGTCATTTTGATCTGTAGCCTACCTAATTAGAAATTATTTTCACATAAACTCCTAATCCGTTTAATTGTTCATTAAAAATTATGTTAATAAAGTATGAGAACAATGAAACAAACTTGATTTGCCCTATATTGTATTCTCATTTCCTCAAAAAGAAAAAAACATTGTTTTTATATTCACTCAACAGTTGCAAAAGATGTACCTGTAGATTCATTGGAAGATGATTTTGAGAAGGAATTCTCATTTCTGAACAGCCTCCTAAGTCCTGGTTGTTGGAGTGCTAGTGAATTTTCCCAGGAATGCCAGGCTGTCTTTGGGAGCACCAAGGCCAGTCTTACATCCCAGGAGCCTTCTGGGGGGTCTGAGCCTCTTACTCACTCCTCACGATTCCTTCCTTCACAACTCTTTGACCTTGGCCTTCATGCTGCTGGAGCTTTCAACAGTAAGTGTCTATGCAACATTTGGATACCCTTGAATTGTATCTTTGTGAAGCAAAAATATGTGCCTGTGGATGCTGAAATCAACAAAGAGATTGAGTTAGCTTCTGTACTACTGGATAAAATCTGCAGTCACACCCAACAGGAAAAATAACAAATATCATTGGAGTCTGTCAACGAGAGTGAAATAAGGGCTGCTTTCCTGCCACCTCCACTAAACCCCACATTTTTTCATTGACTTTCCCAGGTGTCTTCTCTACATAGAAAATCAGTGTCTTGTTTAAAACTCTTGACCTGCTAAGTTACCCTGCCTAGGGCAAGTGATACTGTTTGTTCTACCTAGCAAAACTCGATGTGTTCTCTTCCTATGGGCTCAGAGTTAACAAGAGCAAAAGGAATAGGTCTGGAGCCGGTTCCACAGCAGCCTTCAGGGCAAGGCAGCGGGAATGGAGGACTGTGGTGGAAAGCTGGGAGCAGGAAAGGGTCACCTGCTTTGCTTATATGTCAAGGACTCTCTCCACTCACCTGCTGTTCCACCATCCTGTGTCCAACCCAACACTTTGGGAATCATTTTGCTCCCCACTTCCATATTGGTTCCGAAGTCCTGTCAATTCTGTTTCTAAAACGTGTCTCAAATTTCCCACTCCTCCTCCTCTGCCATTTAGAACCTCATTTGGTTTCCTGGGTTACTGTGACTCCTCCTAACAGGTCTCCCAAACCCCAATTCGTCTTCCATGTTTCCTCCAAAGTTCTCTCTCTATGAAGCAGATTCAGATGTCAGTACCCTGCTTACATTTTTCAAAAATAAAGCACCATTGGCCCCAGGGTCAAACCTGCCTGTGCCTGCATTTCCACCCTTATCTCCCACCTTATTTCAAAATACCTGCCATTTTCGGTAACCGTACTGTTTCCAGACCCTTCTGAGGCATCTTTGCTCATGCCCCTCTTTGGCTGTAATGTTCTCTAATAGAGTGTGGACTTGGGCCCAAATATTAGGTTCCATCCAGTGTTTCCTCTGCCACACCAACCTTGAGGACTCCCTCAGTACTGCCAAGTGGAAATGCTTTCTCCCTCCTCTGGCCTCCTGCAGTGCTTTATTGGTTTTCATGGCTGTGATCATAGTTCTTTTTTTAATATAGATTTTATTTTTGTTTATTTCTTTTTGGCTGCATTGGGTCTTCGTTGCTGCGCTAGTTGCGTCGAGCAGGGGCTAGTCTTTGTTGCAGTGCACGGGCTTCTCATTGCGGAGACTTCTCGTTGCGGAGCACGGGCTCTAGGTGTGCTTCAGTAATTGTGGCTCGTGGGCTCAGTAGTTGTGGCTCACAGGCTCTAGAGTGCAGGCTCAGTAGTTGTAGCGCATGGGCTTAGTTGCTCCGTGGCATGTGGGATCTTCCCGGACCAGGGCTTGAACTGGTGTCCCCTGTGTTGGCAGGCAGATTCTTAACCACTGCACCACCAGGGAAGCCCTGCAATCATAGTTTATCCTGCCTTATATCCCTGTCTTTCAGCCTCACGGCACCTCATGGTGTCTTAATGCATTGTACTTTGTATTAAAATACTTATGTTCATACTTTATCTGCAAGACCATCATGCTTTATCCAATCTTCAAGCACCTCAAGGGCATGATCTGTGGGGTGATTTATCTTGGTGCTTTCTATGACAGCAGCATAAAAGTTAGCTCAATAAATAAAATAAATATCAGTTAAATAATGACTCAGTAAGAACTGGTTAAATAACCTAAAAGTAAGAATGGACTGTACTATTTGATAACGAGTCCCCCTGTCTAGGATAATTCAGATGTTTTGCTTGTGGTAAAATTTTAGACAGCAGTTATTCTCGTGTGGCATATCGATGGCCCAATAGTTATAAAGATTTACAAACTGATTCACTGTCTGCTATGAACTCCCGCTCTTTCTCCTTCACTTGCCACATCACCAGCAGCTCTGGACTCTTCTCTTATTTTCTGGCCGTACAATATCAACAGGATTTCTGCACTAGTCAGAACGTCTGTCTTGGTTCCTGCCTGCAGGCTGATGGGATATTCCCACATAATAGCCAAGGCAATTGTGTTTGTCTTGCTGAGTCATCAGGCAGTTTAAACTGTTAAACTTTTCCCAGCACAGGACTCTTCCTACTTCACTAGTCTCTCCTTTACGTCTACCTCTTTTTCTCCTGTGATGTAGACCAGGAAGATGAGCTGCCCTGAGAGGTTAAAGATCTATGTTCTAGGAGCCCCAAGTAGGAACTTGGGCCTCAGATGATCTCTACTGTACAAGGAAGGTAGTAGGCCAGATAATCTAAGTTCCTTTCTAGTGCTGTGTTTTAATTATAGTATAAATACGTTTTCATGTTACAGTAGACATTGCCCTGTGTTACTAGTATTCATAATGATACTTTTTAAGGAGTATATCATATTTCAGCACATTTGTCCACCATAGTCCACTTAATTCCTTCCTTATTGTTTCTACTTTTTCATGTTATAGATAATGCTGCAATAAACAAAATCATGCAGGTACTTTTTCCTTCAGTTAAATTATTTCCTTAAGATAAATTTCTAGGAATGGGATTACCAAGTCAAAGGGTATAAACCTATTATTCATAGGTTTCAGGATTCTAATTGTCATGTTTATTTCCTCTCTTCCTGACTCCTTACAGCTTCTCTTTCTACACCTTATCTATTTGCCATTGTTTTAAAGAAAAAAGGTTTATATATTTATTTCAGAACAACTTTGCAAAATGTAAGAAAGTCTAACTCTAGCTGGGACTAAACTTAGATGATTTGAATAAAATTCATAATAGCAGATATATGTCTTATACTGTGGAATATTACCCTGGTACAAAGATTGGAGGACTTTTATTAGATATTTTTCCCTTTTCTTGTTTTGCTGATGCTACTTTCTATTTGATTAATAATGGATACTTCATTATTTCTCTTTCCCCAGGCTGGGCCTCCCAAGGGGGATTAGAACTTCCTCTTTCACACATTGATAACCAGTCAGTGCCTTCACAGAGTCCAAAGAAATTAACAAAATGTAAGTTATTTACTTATATTATCACAAGTAATATGCCATCATATTAACAATCAGTCAAGTTCAGGTAAATTTAGAAAAGGACCATGTTACAGTCTTCACCTCATATTGTCCAGAAAAGTACCTTGTTAATAATGAATTAAAATGAAAGCTGTATCTAGCTATCCCTCACTGTGGAAAGAATTGAACAGAAATTGTGAGCTGCCATAGTAAACTAAATTCTGTACCTTAATCTTTTATATTTTGTGTTAAGGTTTGTTGATAATGGATAATACCATTAGGGATAGAAGATGCTCTTTGTTTACAGAATGCCTATTGACAAAGAACGCACCCAGGGTCTTAGCATAAGGCCTGGTACGTAGTAATTGCTAATATATATTGAGTACTTACTATATATATTTTTAAAATTTATTTTTGACTGTGTTGGGTCTTTGTTGCTGCGCCCGGGTTTCCTCTAGTTGCGGTGAGCGGGGGCTACTCTTCATTGTGGTGCGTGGGCTTCTCAATGCAGTGGCTTCTTTTGTTGCGGAGCACGGGCTCTAGGCGTACTTACTATATTTTGTCTGCAGAGCCGGTCCATGTTGTAATTACCATGTAGGATATACATAGAAAATTGACACATTCTCTGTCTTGCAGGATCTTAGATACATATTAATCTTAGTCACTGATGCTGATTTAACTTTTTAATTGGACATAATTTCAGACGTACAGAAATATTTCATAAATGAAAATGGCACAAAGAACACATGTATATCCTTTACTCAGATTCACCTGTTGTATTTTACCCCGTTTGCTTTATGCAGGCTTGTGTGTGTGTGTGTAATGCGTGTGTTATTTTATCTGAACCACTTGAGGGTAAGTTACATACACCATGACCCTTTACCCCTTAATGCTGCAGTTTGTGTTTCCCAAAAATAGGTATATTCTCTTGCACAACCACAGTATGGCTGTTAATATTAACGTAATCCTTTTCTATGATCCACCATGTATGTGTATTCCATTTTTGTGAGTTGACTCCATAATGTCCTTTATGGCACTGTCCCCCTCTGGGACAGAGAGTCTAGGGTCATGTATTGTATTCAGTTGCCATGTCCCTTTAGTCTCTTTTAATCTGAAACATTTCCACAACTTCTCTTTGATTTCTGGACATGGGCATTTTAAAAGAATATAGTCCCTCTGCTCCACTGTTTTTTGTTTTTAATAGAATGCTCCTTATTTCAGTTTTTTTTGAGGTCTCCTTATAATTAAATTTAGGTTATTCGTTATCCTGAATATATCTAGTCAGGTTATCCTGACTAGAATACACATAGGTGATGCTCCTTTCTCAGGGTTTCACATCTGAAAGTTATTCCTCTCTTCCTCATGGGTGTTGTTAATGTTGACCACTCTGTCAAGGTGTTGTCCAGTTTTTCTCCTATACAATTACTATTTTGTTTTATTTGATCTTCCCTTGCAATTACTAAGCAGTCTGTGGGGAGACACTTTGCGACCTTGTACACGTCCTGCTCTTTGTCAGAATTTCCACATAGATTTAGCATCCATTGTTACTTTTTGCCTCATTCAGTCTTTATTGTGATGGATGAAAAGTGATTTTTCCAACCCTAGCACTCTCTCCACTTTTGTTTATTGTAAAAACACATAACAAAATTTACCATCTTAACCATTTTTTTAACATCTTTATTGGCATCTTAACCATTTTTAAGTGTACAGTTCAGTAATGTTAAGTATATGCACATTGCTGTGAAACGGATCTCCAGAACTTTTCATCTTGCAAATCTGAAACTCCACCCATTAAACACTAACTCCCCATTCTCTCTCCCCAGCCCTGGTAACCACCATTTTACTTTCTGTTTCTATGAATTTGACTACTTTAGGTACCTCATATAAGTGGAATGTATTTGTCTTTTTGTAACTGACTTATTACACTCAGCATAATGTCCTCAAAGTTCATCCAGGTTGTAGCATGTGACAGGATTTCCTTTCTTTTTAAAGTTGAATAATATTTCATTGTATGGATATACCACATTTTGTTTATCCATTCATCCATTAATCACATTTTTAAAACATCCTTATTGACATATAATTCACATGCTATACAATTGGCTCCTTCCACCATCCCTCAATACCCTGCTGTAAACAAAAAAAAAAACCTTCTTCCCCATTTACGAATGTATTTATTGTCAGAATAGATTCGTATTTTTTCGATGGTTTATAATCACTACTGTACTTAACCATTTTGGTGCTCAAATTGCCCCTGTGTTGACCAGCGGGAGCCCTTTCAGGCTGACTTCTGAATCCTTGTGGTATCAATATTTTAAATTTTTCAAATAATTTTAGTCCTACAGAAAGGCTTGCAAAAATATTTCTATATGTTTTCACCTAGATTTCACCATGTTCACCTTAGTCTCTCTCTACGTGTGTGAGTGTAATATGTATGTAATTTCTTCTGAACTGAAATTATTCTGAGACTAAGTAGCAGGCATAATGCCCCTTCACCCCTAAATACTTAAGCATCTGTTTCCTAAAAACAAGGACATTCTTTCACAAAATCACAATTCAGTGATCAAAATCAGAAATTAACATTGCCACACTGCTATTATCTAATCTATAGACCTTAGTCATATTTTGTCAATTGTCCCACTAATGTATTTTGTAACAAAAAAGATTTTTTTCCTAGTCCAGGATCCAAACCAGGATCACACATTGTATTTAGTTGTCAAGTCTCTTTAGTTTCTTAATCTGGAAAAGTTCCTCAATCTGTGTCTTTCATCGTCTTGGCTTTTTTTGTGGTGTACAGGCCATTTGTTTTGTAGAATATTCCTTGAGTTGGGTTTATCTGATGTTGTCTCATAATTAGACTCGTGTTATGCGTTTTGGCAAGACTTGCAGCACAGGAACGATGTTGTGTGTTCTTAATAAACCGTATCAGAAGGCACATGATGTCTGTTTGGTCCTATTGCTTATAACGTTAACTCTGATCACTTGGTTAAGGTGGTGCCGGCCAGGTTTGTTCACTGTCAAATTACTATTATATTTTTCCCTTTATAATTAATAATTATCATGTGGAAAAATATTTTGCAACTGTGTGAATGGCTTATTTCTGAGTATCAAAGTTGCACCCGCTAATTTAGCATTCATTGATAATTCCTGCACGAATCGTCTATTGCAGTGGCTGTTGCCAAATGGCGGTCTTCCATCTCCTCTCCCCTCCGCCTTTGTTAGTTACATTCTACTATATGGAAAAGCTTTGTCTTGTCCCTCATCTTTTACTTATTTGTTGGTATGTATCATTGTGGACTCCTGGAACCCTATTTTAATTCTTCCTAATGCTTTGGGATAAATCGATTGGGGAATCCATCAATTCCAAGCAAATCACAGAATCACAGCAGCCAATTCTGAATACGGCCATCCCTTAGGGACTCAGACTATTCATAATTATAGTTTTCTCTTCTTAAACTCAGTAAACTGAATTGTGCTAAATTATTAAAAATAGAGACTATAAAAGTGAGTAAATTTCAGAATTGAACACGAAAAGGCTGAGGTATTGGGAAAGCTGCTATTTGCCTATAATCCTTTGCTGTACAGTAGAAACTAACAACATTGTAAAGCAATTATACTCCAATAAAAATTTTAAAAATAATAAATTATATGACCATTACTTTACAGATGAGGAAGCAAGGGCCCCTGAAGTTAAATGACTTGCCCATTATTACTTATTAGTAGGTAATATACCCAGGACTCAAAGCCAGAATTTGTGTGGGTATCACTGACACTACCTTGGGGTTCCCAGAAGCAGAACTGGACACACAATGCAGCCTTTCACTCTGTCCTGATCCCTGAGGCTTGGGATCCCCACAGCCCAAACTCCAGCCCTCTGATCTGTGGAAAGTGGTAACCATGAGTGATTGTAAGAGAGGATTGCCTTAGACTCTTCTGAGCAGGACTGCCTTCCATCCTTTGCCCACTGTGTCCCTGGTCTTAGGTCTTTAGATTGTCCCCTGGCTCTCAGCCCTGCTTTCTGGACCCCCCTGGCCTTCAAGAGCCTAGCTTTCTGAGATGACCCACTGTCTGTGCCCTGCACAGTTTTTTACTAGTCCCAGCCTTCAGTATAGACGTGTATCCTTGACTGTCTGCCACACAACTTGTAGACTATCGATATATGCAATTTTCCAGTCAGGTAACAAACAGGAAGTCGTATCTGAGACATAACCCACTCCATAATATATATATATATATATATTTTTTCCCCATAATATATTTATCAAAAATTTTAAAGTACACATGGAAATGTGATAGGATTAGGGGATCTTCCCCCCTATGTCTAGTATTTTAATATTACTTTTATAATAAATATAGATTTTAAATACTAAGTTTACAAGTGTAATGTTCCTACTTTGTAGGAACAAAGGTTAAATTGTGAACTTACCTGAGAGCCTTCTACTTCCTGCCTTTTCACTTTTAATCAAGGCCTTTCTCAGAGCAACATGCAATTACTTAAATAGCCTCAGCAAAGCATGAGGTTATTTGCATTAGCTTTTCAAAATTATCCTCAAGGAGACGTAATTGATGTTTATACTTGTCAACTGTCTTAAATTTGATTCAAAAGAAGCATCTACTTTAAAATCATAAAAGTGGTACAATAATGTGATTTTTAAAATCTGAGACTCTAATGTGTTTTTTTCTTTTTTAATAGCTCCCAACAGCGGTAACCAAGACATGTCAGCCTGGTTCAATCTATTTGCAGACTTGGATCCGCTTTCAAACCCAGATGCTATTGGACACTCAGATGATGAACTTCTTAATGCTTGACTGAAGTTATGATGCCACTTCGATGGCCTTGAGACACCAATTTTGCAACTTACTGCCTTCATGGAAAGGAGTTTATGTTGTCACCCATATATGAAAACCTTGTGTTTGCAAGGTTAGACAGATGGAAAGGACCATGTTTTAATACATTAAGTATCTCTTTAATATCTTGGATTTGCAGCTGTTGATAATATATGGAAAATATTAGAAACTACTGAGTCTGAAATACATATCAAAAGTTAGTTCAAAAATAACAGCTAGGAATAATTATCAGTAGGAGTTGTGTTTATCTGTTTGGAAAGCCTTTTATGTATAAGCTGCCTTACTGGCTGTGAGAATTCTGTATCTAGAGAAAGGACAGCATGTAAACTGGGTTGTGATTGGGGGTTGGTTTTTAAATAAAACGGTGGCAGGGGGAATTCTCTGTTGTGGAAAATAGCACTAGAACCAGACCAGTTTTTTCTTTAGTTAGAAAGGTAGAATAAGATTTGAGAACTCAATTTGCTTCAGTGAAATCACAGAGAAACTTGGTGCTTGTTTTCTCCACTTGGAGGCTAAAATGTAATATTCCTTAGTTTTTTTCCTTCATACAAAATCATGGACACCCCCCCAATTTCATTAGTGAATTTTCTTGGGGAAGTAGCAGGATGATTTATTTGCTAAGAAGTCCATCCTCTGCATAAACAGAAAAACCTCTCTTCCCATTTTATAAACCACAAGAATGTCCATCCTATGGTGGTACTTCAGACATTGTCCAAGTGTCTTCAGGCTTGATTCTTCACACATTGCTACTACAATGTACTGTATTCATATGCTTCCTGAAAGAAAATGAGGGAAGGATACTCCCTGAGCAACTGGCAGTAGTGTTCCTGAAATGACCCAGAAACTTCTACCTGAATGAGGGAAAAGAATTCTAAATTAACTTACTCTCGTACAGATTTGCAATACTTACTTACTACCCCACATTTCTTGACATGATTTAACCCAGAATGCTTTCTGGCAAAGTTACAGAAAGCTCTATACCATCAGTAAGGGAGTGTTTTTCCACTTTTCTGTGGGTGACATCATCTGAGGCTCTATCTGATTACTAAGGACAAACTTACCCTTAAAAGGTTTAGAGTCTAAGTATTGGAAGGAAGGCTATTTAGTGAAGTTAGCATAAGCTAATGAAAACATAGCCACTGTATACACACAGTCACTCAGTTTCCTATTCTTTTTTCCCATCCACCCTTTAGTTCTGAAGCAGTTCACCAGGTGTCTTGTTTCGTCATCCAGTCCATTGCATCTGCATAAGAAAACATTTTAACTAAGACGTTCACAGTAGTTTTCATTGTACTCCTAGTTCTAAACAGGCTTAATTATTATTTACAAGAGAACTGCTTGTAATCTCTGAGTCTCTGTATACAGAAGAACATTTTTTAGGAATGGACTAGGGCAGGTAAAATGCAGTCCACTTCCCATCCACAACAGTCTGGCCTAACTACAGTCTGAACTGCCCACAAGCTATTTAGAAAACCACAACTGTGGTCAAGTAGTGTGTAGGCTGGAAAGACCATATCTGAGGGTCAGAAACATGGACTTAAGGTTATGTAAATCCTTCCTTAAAATATTTTCACACGCTTATTCCTATTTCTTTACTTGGTTAACCATTAAGAAGCGTTTTGTAACTCTCCCTTTTTATTCAGTTTAATGCCCCAGAATGCAATACTGTCTTTGTTCCACCAAAATTCAATCACCAGGGCTTGTAATTATGAATCACTATCTAAATTCTATACCCATGGTTGCTCTGTGCTTTCAACTTTGAAGTATCTCAGAAAATGTTAATTTTATGTCTTGAGTTTTTGCCATTTTTCTTTCATTTTCACTAATGCATTAGTTCAAAAATATTTGTATTGCTTCCTCACATGCATGCAGAGCAGTCCTTGTTATTTCATGTAAACAAAGACACTCAACGCAGAGGAAAATCACTAGTCTCTCCAGGCCCAAATCCCAGACCATGAGCGTGAAGGGGATACTAACCCCAATTTTCCAAGAGCAAAGGTTATCAAAAAAATAGAAACATACAAGGATTTTTATTCTTCAGTTCTTAATTTCTCTAGCATTTTCGCTTTCAACAGAGTATGTAGTTGCTTGTTTAGCCTCAAAGCAACATTAACTGCCTTAGCAAGTCTAGTTATAATTTCAGCAAGTCTGACTGCATTTTTGAAGTGCACATTTAAAACTTTGCTATTAAAATGAAGGTAACTATTCACATTTTCTCAAGATTATTTGAAGTTCAGTCATTAATTTAAGGTCCAGAAACAGAAATTTGGCTATATTACACCTAAAATAGGTATAATAGGAAACCTAAAATAAAAGACAAACTAAAATAAGAAACCAAGCACATATTCAGTAGGGAATGACAGGAAGGACAGGATAAACACAGAACAGAAAGGTGATCAGTTGCTTCCTGGTTAAATCTAGAATAACCATTCAATAAGAAGTATATTAATTAACCTTAACCAAGGGTGGGCTGAGAACAACTCTTTCAAATAAATGGATGCTTTTTATATTAAATGGGGGGAAATATCTATGTTATACTTTTTAATACCAAATAAGAATGCATTTAAACTTAGAAGAGCCCCAGAAGAACTAAAAATTTGCCTAATCTTTCTTCAGCCACTTTATAAGAGAGGCAGGAATACCAGGGCAGATTAAGATCAAATTGGTGTAACTTTGTATTTTTTGAAATCTTTCATTAATTGTAAAACATAACTGATGTGATTAGAAACAAACTGTATTTTAACAAAACAGGTTTCAGTATTTGCACAATGAAAAAGTGTTTGTATTTCAACTATGGATATTTCACATAACTATCTTTATAGACCATCTGGAAGTGTAGAGGTCTTACAGCATATGAACAAAGGAAGTTTGAATGTGCTATTTTTCTGAGCCTCTTTTAATAAAGATTACAAGATGGCATAAAGCAAAGTTTATTTGCTCAAGTGTTCAATACAATACAAATCCAGTTATTGTTTCTCTATTCAAAAACTTGGGTTTTACCTCAGGACCATAGTAATAAGAAGGTAGTTTGAATGATACAGATACCACAGAATGAAAATAAAACCAGCACAATTAATATCTTTGTGAGACTGATTCTTTCTAATTTACTTCATGCAGGAGGGACTTCGTGGCGTAAGATATGGGAAATAAAAGAATGTGTGTTCTTTGTGTAAATACTCTCAGTAACAAAATACAAACAAATAGCAGAATTTTGAGCTTAGAAGCAATAACCAGTGAAATATAAGCCATAACATTTAACCTGATTTGTTGAAGGGAGGAATAAAAAGCAAGGCAGGATTGATTGATCCAGTTATTTCTACCTTCCATAGCACGGGCAGAGCCCTGCATTTCCTTACCTTGAGCAATGAAGCAGACCCAGAATCTTGGCATATAGACATTAAACTAGGAAGGAAACACAAACTTTAAAATATTAACTAATTCAGCAGTATTGAAAGTAATGCATTTAAAACACAACAGTAAGGTATTTAAATATAGCAAAGAAAACCTATAGAACAGGATAGGAAGAAAAACGTTTGTTCGTTAGGATGGGTCACATCCATAAGCCCAACAAAAAATTTCTTCCATGTTTTATGTGCCATTTAAAAGAAGACTAAAGAGTTCAGCAAGAACTGTCCTTGGCATCTAAAGTCAAGACATGGTTCTCTAGTCAGTCGTGTAAATAAACCAATGTCCAAAAATAAGTACAACCTGGAGATAAAGGTCTGAGTGGTGTTATCAGGTAAGATTTTGAAGGGCATGTTTTTACATTAAAGAAAAAAGAGTTGTTTTCTTTATCCCATTTCAAAGTAATACTGTCATTTAAAAGTCTGTAAAAGTAGACGACAAAGAAATGATCCACCAACCTACCAAACAGGAATAACTACTGTTAATATTATATATGAACTAAATTGTGATCCTAGGTCAGGGGTTCCCAACCCCCTGCTGTTAGGAACCAGGCCACACAGCAGGAAGTGAGTGGCGAGCCAGCAAGCTAGCGAAGCTTCATGTGCTGCTACCCTTCGCTTGAATTACCTACCGCCTGAACCCCCTCCCTGCTCCGGTCCATGGAAAAACTGTCTTCCACGAAACCGGTCCCTGGTGCCAGAAAGGTTGGGGAGCCCTGGTCTAGGTGATTTCATTTTATAGTCTGTCTGAAATGGGCATACCAAGTAATTGAGGTTAAAAAATTACTTTCGTTAAGTCTTTACCTCAAAAAGTCAGTTAAAAAAAAAAAAATCCACCAAAAATGTGAAGTTGCTACTTTCTGCCTCTCTAACAGACGTGCGCCCCAAACTAAAGAAAATATTTCTTTTGAATTTCTGCAGCTATAGCAACATTAAAACCCAGAGCTTGAGGATTTGTGTCACTACCTACCTTGGTCAGGAAGTGGTGTCTAACCAGGTTACTTTGTTTTCGCCCTCTGAACCAAGATGCCAGCAGTTGAAGCAATGAAGAAGACCACAAAGAACAAACAAGGCTATGACCCAAGGGCACAGAATCTGCGATGATACCAAACACCTATATTTTATTAATGTCACTGTCATAGGAGAAGTAGCAGTAAGTCTGAGTTCTAGAATCAGAATTGGTTCAAAGCCAGATTTTGACATTTCCCAGATGTATGACCATGGATAAATTAATCTAATTCCAATTTTGCAATTTATAAGACAGTAACTAGCAGTACCTGGCTTCACAGGGTTAATGTAATAAGCACCAAGCCTGGCACTTGGAAAGCTATCAGTAAGTGTTACCTATTTTTATTATGATTCAGCTCAACATCTTTGACTATATTATACTTTACAAGGTAAAATGAATTTTATGGGATCATTTTCCATGACCAACAACTTGTGGCTTTCCTAAGGGATGAATAAACTTACCTAACAAAATAGAAAGGAGATGATAACATGTGTCTGCTTCCAGATTTTTAAGTTATTTTCACACTAGCCATTTAACTGACAGCACTGGCATCAGCATTTCCTAAAATCACATAAGAAAACTAAAGTTCAGAGAGGTGACTTCTTTGCCTAAGATCCCATGACTATTAAGCTGCAGAGCCAGAAGTAGTACCCACATTGTGGCTTTCCCTGCAACTCCTCTGAATCATCCCAGTGATCTCAAAAACTAACTGCTTAAGGCATGGAACTGAGATGAATGGTCATACTCCTGGGTTTCTGGCCATCAGAGCTCCATGACAGTCTTCTCTAAAACACAATGATTAAGCATGACTCATCCATGCTACTGTATAAAATCAAAGAGTATATGGCGATAAATTCTCAGTTTGAGGAAGATGCAAACTGCTGAAAAGACAAGAATTTTTAAAAATAAACCCAGCAATTTGGAGATGCTTAGTAAAGAGAAGTAGAAACAATGTCTTTAAAGACTCCAGTATCTGTGTTAAGATACCAGACCAACTCCAAAACACATATACAGAAGTTGTATCTACAACAGTATTTTTCAAATCATTTTGATTACAACTCACAGTAAGAAATATATTTTACTTTACAACCTAGTACATATATATCCCTATGGCTAGCAAAAGCTTTACATACAAATACTATTTCCCTGATGTCTTCAATATACTTTTGTTTCCTGTTCTGCTTCATTAAAAAAAAATGTTGGCTGGACCCACTTAATTCATTTCAAGACCCAAACAGTTTGAGAAACACTGAACCAAAGAGATACAAAGGCTATCTGTATTATCATACCATGTTCTAATAGAGGTTTAAAATATTTAGAAAGCAAACATAATCTTAGCAAGGGAAAAAAATGATATTGATATACATTGGCAGGGAACTCCTAGGAAGAGGATACTACTTCACATCCAACCACTGAAAAGCAACTTTCAGTTGCTTTTAAGGAAAGCAACTGAAAAGTCTATAATGATCTTTTAAGGAAAGGATCATTATAGACCTAAAAACTTTTGGGGGGAGGGCGTATATTTAATACTAATGAACCAAAGCAAAAAAATAAATAAATAAATGGGGGAAGATGGGAACACCCAGCTTGAGATCTAAATTTGCTCCTCTCAACCTCTTTAAAGGTGGAAGGAAAAGACAGAGAGTAAAAAGAATGGGAGAAAATATTACGCCAATTTGAGAGATTCTCTTCACGTTTGCTGCTGTGTTTAATTATAATGTTATAATCTCCAAATTCTGGTTAACATTTACCCCCAGGAATAATTTTTAGAATTTCTTGCAAAGTAATTTGGTGACCACTTTTTATGACAGGCAGCTATGGTGACACTTTTATTTCACTTAAAAGATGACCGTGCTTTCTAAATGATTATACTGCATGCAGCCTTCATACAGATTAAACCCTTCAGCCTAAACAACTGTCTTGCATTTATAAACCACCGACACGAAGCAGAAAGAATGAATTACCAAAACAAACGGGGAAAAAACTCCTCTATCTGTACTTTAGAATGAAATTAAGTGACTGCCCCCAGCTAAATCTCTAACAACCTATAAAGTACTGAATTACATATAAACAGGTACGTCTTTCAGTATGCTTGCTTATATTTTAACATTTGCTTAGCACTTAACACAAAGATCAGGTGCTCAGTTCAAGAGCAAGTTAAGGAGGTAGCAAGGAAGTAACAACTGACAATATTTTATATCCTGCTACCTAACACAAACACAAATTCATTTTTCTATCTGTGAAAAAGAACATACTAAAGTTATTTCAAGCTAGAAATGTCTGAAAAGAAAGAAATTTGAATTTGAGGCAATATTCATAAAAGTACACAGAAAAAGATTCAAGAAGAACAGACTTTATTTTTAACATAAAACTTCTATTTTCTTGTGAGGCAGCAACAAGTGTTCAGGTATAGGGAATACATAAGTACACAGTAACAATATTTATCACCATTGGAAATGCTGTTTTTTGGGAGAATTTTGTTAGAAAAACGAAACTTTAAAAATTGCATTTTAAAAAGATTTACACAGCTTCAACAGAGATGAAAAATAAAGACTTTTAAAAAACATAAATTATATTCTTCAACAGGATTGTATAGACAAAATATTGTTCAGGGCTGCTCTGCTTATCATTAATTTAGGCAGAGTAAAACATAAACCTTAAAGTGCGAAGTTAAGTGTTTTAGCTTTCTTAATGCAAATTCAGCACGTCCACTGGTCTGGTCTTGAGACACTGAAAATTCTAAGCATTAAGGAATGAATCTTTAGAATAGTAAATTCAGTAGTGGCAATTTTTCTTTTATTTCCTTTAACAAAAGAAAACTCTGACAACCCACTCTTAATCTTGGACATACAGAAAGCTATAAATTCTGCTATTTTTAAAATACCTTCTTCCAGTAAAAGCCAACCATTAAAAAGAAAGAAAGAAAGAAAAAAAAAAAGGCTTCCTTGTTGCCAGTTATTCCACAGTTAACAATAGCACCTTCTAAAACTCTGATTTGGCTTGTCACAAATATAAGAAATATTTAAAACAAAATGAAGACTCTAGTTAAAAAATAATTTTGGCATCCATGCTCACCATATTAATCAAAGAAGCGAAACAGGTATTTTTAAAACATAACTGCTCACAAAAGCCATGACAAGTAATATAGACTTAGTAATGATCAGAAACCGTAAATTCATGTTATCACCGCAAGGAAAAAACCGTTTAAGAGTAAAAATAACTTAACACTGACAAAGTTTATAACCAGAGAATAGCTTTCTTTTGCTGAAATATACAAGCCACCTATTTCTTTCTTTTACCACAATGGAAGTAAATTTATTTAAAGTTTTTAAAAATTTAAATTATATTCCCATTGAAGCTATTCTAATTTATTTACCTTCTGTACAGTTTTCTACAGAATAACAAGATAGTTATGGAATGTAATTTTAGAAAACAATATTATGCATTCTATTGAGAGTAGACCCATTTTTTTAAAAAAGTCAACCACCTGTGGACCAAGGTTACATAAAAGCCGAGTAGACTATGACCAATATTTTTGCAAGACTGCATAAAGCTCAGATACTTAAAAATTAGCCCTTTGGCACTGGCAGTTAAGAGTTTTTTATACCTTGTACCTTCCCCCCCTCCTCAAATCTCAGGCTCTATTTCTCCCAAACATGAGGACTATGTTTAGTTGCCATATAATTCATTTACCTGCAAATTCACATTCTCCTTACAACCAAACATTAAAAGTTCCACCTCTAAGACCGTAAATAATACTATCTTAAACTTGTTCTCCCATTCTGATTGTAAATTACTTTAGTTTAAGGATATATGAAACTCTACAGAAAGATGTGAGTTAGATAAACATGCACAACAGAGTAAGAAGAAAAACTGTTTACAAAGTGGCATTCTAGTTGTGAAACACCCTTGTGACATGTACAGATGGAGAGGGAAGTAAGTGTAAGGCAAGGAAAAGAACACAGATTTAACAGAATTCAGGTAATCAAAAAACTGATTTTGGATTTTTTTGAAACCTTATTTTTTAACTTCCTACCATCGATACCAACTCACCCGATTTCAGCTTTACCTTTCTTTTGTACTTCTGACAGAGCAGTTCTCAGTGGTGAAATGGTAAATAGAGGCAAAGAATCAGTAGGTTCTCAAAGAACCTACTGACCAGAACATTTAGACTTTGAATAACTTAGCTTTTCCTGATTTAGAAGCCACAATGTACTAATTTCAGGAAAATTAGTTTTGGACAGAAAGGGTACCAAAATTCATCGATGCCACCAACTGAAACCTGACAGACTTACTCAAATGTTTGAGTTTATCTAATTTGCCTAAATACATCTCTGTTTTCAACTTAACAGGGCAAAATTTTTAATTACTTCGATGTTTTAAAGGTACATGAGTATAAGAAGTCCTTTCAGAAGATTTATTGCTACCACTAGCTTTTCTTTGATGGGATATATCTGGACATACTGACATATTAACCTTCTAAACTATATCCCTTTTACAAGTATTTGTTTTCTCCCTATAATAAGTACAGGAACATTAAATTATTGCATCATAAGGTAGTTTGTGAAGATCTTAGAAGGATGCTTTCTATCAACAGTTTACTATAACTTTTTAAAAAGAGCTGCTCCTCAATTTCACTACCACATACCCAGACATGAAATACTGCTGTCATGTGATACTGGCAGTGATTGTATTAGGATGAGCCTAAATCCAAAACCATGTGGATTCTTCAAAGGTTCCTGTTCTTTATGCTCCAAAGCTCTCCTTGCCTGTTTTCCCCACCGTGTGGAATGCTGGAGGGAAAACTAGCAAAACCTATAGGCAACATATCTCAGTGCCAACCACCATAAAGGAAACGTCAGTCGCAAGACTGTGACTAAGGATTGCTATTCAACGGATTACACTCCTGGCAAACTACTAACCCTGACCAAATCCACAAGACAACAACATCACAAAAGCAAAGGAGGAAATCCATGCACAGCCATTTTAGGATCTCGTGGGGCTATGATACAGTGACGGTTAAAGGTAGAACGACACCTGTGGGAAAGAAAGGAGATCATGTGATAAATATTGAGCAGAAAACCCAAGGGGCTCCTTACTCCTAGCTAGCAGTCGACACTGGGTAGTTAGTTTCCTTTTGGCTCACTGACTTTTAAACCAAGTTCCAATGATGGGTGAGAACATATTAAAGCACTTGTCTCCAGATTATAATTTTTCTGACCACATGGTGAAATGTGTACAGGAGTAGTGAGGAAAAGAGCAGTTTTACAAGTATTTCACCCAAAGCACAAACATCTGACATCAAAAAACATAAATCACATAATGTACTAATATTGCTTTTTTATCTCTTTTATATATACTTGTTCAATGCATTTACCTATCAATTCTTGTTTGGGAGAAGAACAGTCATGAGATTAAGATTGCTAGGAAAATGTCAACAATCCCTTTGGTCCCAAAGCTGAAAACAGCTGAGAAAAGCACACATCTAGAAAGGGAAACAAGAAACAGAGGCCAAAGAATCGTCTGAACATCCTGTTTGCTATGTTTTCAGAAAACGTAACATTGGTATTATAAAATAGTCATTTTCATATAAAAGATGGTTCTTGCAGCATCATTCACGTCTCCCTTCAAGAATCATGTTTGCAGGGATCAGTTTTTTGTTTTTTTCAAAGAAGTCTAATTTGAAAGCAAAAAACAATGTGATATCAGCCCTCCAGAAGGAAAGAATGAAACCTTTTTCTTCTTTCAACCCGTGCTTTAAGAAAAAGCAGGCTAAGCACTGAGGGCTGGCCTTCAGGAGTGAGCAGAGCCATCAGAGGGGCTGCTTTCTTCCAGAAGCCGCACTGTGACACGTCAGCGTGGAAATGCTGGAGCACGACACAGCCAACTGGGAGCGCACGATGCCATCGCTGCCAAGGGATCGAGGAGATTCTCAGTTGACCAGAACAGTGGCCTCACAGTGCTGGGGCCTATCCTTCAGCTTCCTCAATGGGTTCTGGTGGTGGGAGGAGAGAGGCTGGTGGCGGGACTGTACTCGTTCCTCGAGAGACTCGGTCTTGCTCTGTGTTTGTAGACAGGGAGGCCACAGCAATAGGCTGCAGAAGAGTGGTTGTCATGCCAGTGGTGACTGTCAGACTGTGGCCAGAGCCCTTGAGGGTAAGATCTGGTGTGGGGAGGAGTGGTTTAAGGATGCTGACGAGGCAGAAAGCAGAGCCGCTTTTAGGAATGAAATTCACCTTGTTTTTGTCAGGGCAGTAAAAGGCCGGGATTTCGTGAAGTTGTTTTGGCCTAGACATAGAATAAACAACCCAATACTTTTAAGTCACAGAACATCAGAAGTTCTTTTCTTTTTTTTTTTTTTAAAAATTACTTACAGACACAAAAAAGGAAAACAAAACTCAAGCTATGTCCAAAGCTTCAAATGCTATTGACCAAGGACACATGATTCAAATTATTTATCTCAGAATGCTGGAAGGACACCAGATTTTGTTGCTGCTTTCAGTTCCCTGGCGAGCCCCGGGCACCACATAGGATGCTCAGACATCTAAGTGAAGATCTAAGATAGCCAATTTGAATAAAGAATTTCCTAAAGCAAAAGATATTCTAGCTGTTTAAAGACAAAAATATGTTCCACTATGATTTTTCCAAAGTCTGCACTATTTTGAAGGGAAAAGGCAAGGAAATTAATGACGTACATTGTCTATCTTTTACTGAGTTCCACCACTGCGTGACTAAACTTCGGTGGGCATAAGTTCTCCAAGTGCACTTAAAAATCTCTTTGAAACAATTCTCTAAGTTAATAGCCATGATGGTTTTCTGAATAACGTAACATAAATGTAAAATCAAAATAAAACTAATGACAGTCCTCTGTTCTGAAAGTTTTTATTGAAGCCAAATCCTTCCCTGTCCCTAGTTGCTCCTGCAAATTAACCCAAAGAGTTGCAAAAGGATACGAGTGTTAATGGTATTCCCTGAAAATATAAAAAATTAAACTGTTAACGTAACATGGAAGTGACACAAAATTAAAAAGAAATTCAAGTGGAAGAACCTAAATAAATCAAGATTCAGGTGGGAAAAGGTAATACGATATGACAAAGTATTGTTCTCATCTCTCCTAATGAAATGAAAAAAAAAAATCCAAATGTGCCAAGTCTGCACTAGATTCTGGAGACCCAAAGACGAAATGAACTACAAGGAGATAAACATGTAGTTCTTGGGAAGAGGGAGGTACTGGAGACAGACTGTATTTCAATATCATTAGTCTCCTTTCTAATCGTTAATTTGTTTTTAAAACATTATTCAGAGAAGCTACGAATTACTTCAAAGGATCCATAAGCTTTACTGGACTGCCAGAGGTGTCCATAGCACAAAAAAGCTTGAAAACTCCCGCTAGCGGGACGGACAGATGTGATAAAAATGGTTTGTAAAAGGTTTAGGGGTAGAAAAAGGGAGTGGATAACCTGTGGCACAGAGAAAGAGAGGGAGTTTGGTAGGAAGGTAGCTTCTAGAGGAAGTAACATCTGAACTGGGTTTGAAAGAATGAATAAACAACAGACCTGCGGAGTAGGTGCAAAAAAAGAAAAAGTTCCAAGCACAACGTTTTTGGGTGGGCATATTTTGCTTTGGGTGGGTATATTTTATTGATTAATAGTGAATACTAAAAAAAAAAAAAAAATAGTGAATACTACCCATGGATAGCTTTGGCAAGTATAATAATTTAAAAAGAAAAAAATTACATTGTTTAAATTTGTTTTTCTTGTGTATTGTTCTTTCTTGGATACAATGGAAACTTAATACTTGAGTACATCTAGGGCCACATGTGTATTTGGATATATTATGATAAGAAGAGCACACACTCCTCTGTTTTTACTGACAGCATGGATTTCAATTCCTTAAAGAAGATAGGAAGTTGAGATTATGTTTCTTATTTTTTTTTTTTTTTTTTGCGGTACGCAGACCTCTCACTGTTGTGGCCTCTCCCGTTGCGGAGCGCAGGCTCCGGATGCACAGGCTCAGCGGCCATGGCTCACAGGTCCAGCCGCTCCGCGGCATGTGGGATCTTCCCGGACCAGGGCACGAACCCGTGTCCCCTGAATCAGCAGGCGGACTCCCAACCACTGCTCCACCAGGGAAGCCCCATGTTTCTTTTTCTTTTAAATAAATTTATTTATTCATTTATTTATTTTTGGCTGTGTTGGGTCTGTTGCTGAGCACAGGCTTCTCACTGCGGTGGCTTCTGTTGCAGAGCACAGGCTCTAGGCACGCGGGCTTCAGTAGTTGTGGCACATGGGCTCAGTAGTTGTGGCTCGTGGGCTCTAGAGCGCTGGCTCAGTAGTTGTGGCGCACAGGCTTAGCTGCTCCGCGGCACATGGGATCTTCCTGGACCAGGGCTTGAAGCTGTGTCCCCTGCACTGGCAGGGGGATTCTTAACCACTGTGCCACCAGGGAAGTCCGAGATTATGTTTCTATAATTAAATAATGCTTGTATTTTCTTTTGAAGAATTATATTCTTCAATTATATTCAATTATATTCTTCAATTCTTCATTCTTATATTAGGAGAAAAAGGGCTAATCAATTTTTATACCCTCCTCCAAATGAGGCCTAGATTTTTAATTAATTTATTTATTGTTTGAGGTTATCTTATTAAAAAGATAAAACTGTCTTAAAAATCACTTAAGACACATGGCTGCTAATGGATCTTGAAGATGAAACCACACATTTCTGAGATACAAACTTCTGACTTGGACATTTTTTAATGACAGAATCTAAAATCAGTTTAACTTCCTTTCTGCTTTTACGAAAACAGACTTATGACAGATCTCACACAAAATAACGTAAACAATAACAACTTGTCTAACTGGCACCCAGATCAAGAAACAGAACACTAACAGTAAAAAAAAAAAAAAAAAAAAAAAAGGCATCACCACCCCTCCTCCAGTCATGACCCCAACCCACCAAAAGGAATCATTTTTCACTCCATTTAACTTCGAGGAGCAGATTCCCCAAGAAACTCGTTACCCACCCCTGGGGTGTATGACCAGTATTATACTTATGCTACTAGAAACTGCAGGTACTAATACTACTTCAAAGTTTTCTTCAATTTAAGAACCATACATATCAAAAAACCAAAACACACATACACACACGTGTACACAGAAACCCTCAGAACTAGTTTAAATATTTTACTTTTTCCTTAAGAAGTTATTCCGAAAGGATTGTATCTCAAAATAAACATAACTGCTTGCTAGCTGACTTTCTGAGAAACAGATGGTCAGGATGGATAATTATTATAGCTATTTTCATACTGATGTGAGGAATTCTTTGGTATTTTTTTAAAGGCTTATGTATTTTCTTTTTAAATTCAGGAATAAATTAGTAGCTAAGAAATGGTGATTCCAAATTACTTAAAATGGGAGGGATGGAAAGAAAGGAAGAAAAGAAGGGGTTATGTCATATTTTTTAAAAAATCTCTATACTGAAAAGAAGCCAAAATATCTAGGAATCTAAGGTAACTAAGGTCAAGGAGTTCATTAATTGGGATCAGGAAACAGCATATGTGACTTCATTAAAAAGGACTTGCTGGGACTTCCCTGGTGGTCCAGTGGTAAAGAATCCGCCTTCCAATGCAGGGGACGCGGGTTCAATCCCTGATCGGGGAACTAAGATCCCACATGCCGTGGGGCAACTAAGCCCATGTGCCTCAAACTACTGAGCCTGCGTGCTCTGGAGCCCCTACTCCACAACTAGAAACAAGCCCTTGTGCCACAATGAAAGATCCCACATGCCACAATGAAGATCCCGCATGAACTAAGACCCAACGCAGCCAAAAATAAATTAAATTAAATAAATAAAAGACTATGCCTCTGGTGCCATATTAGCTATAAAAAAAAAAAGGACTTGCTAAGTGCAACTGGCATGGCTATGGTCTGTGCTGTATCAAAAAAAAAAAAAGAAATGCAAAATCTGGTCTTGCCCTTTCTGGGCCCAAATCCAACTACCTGTTTTCTTTCAGGTAAATAAACATACATTTCTAAAAACCAGAGATCAACCTCTCACTGACTCCAACCCCTGGTTCAGGTCAGAGTTATTATCTTTAAACCAAAACTAAGACTTGGAGAGAAAAGTATACTTTAAAGAATGATTAAGATAAAATTTAAAAATTAGGACCAGGGGCTTCCCTGGTGGCGCAGTGGTTGAGAATCCGCCTGCCAATGCAGGGGACACGAGTTCGTGCCCCGGTCCGGTAAGATCCCACATGCCGCAGAGCGGCTGGGCCCGTAAGCCATGGCCGCTGAGCCTGCGCTCTGCAACGGGAGAGGCCACAACAGTGAGAGGCCCGCGTAAAAAAAAAAAAAAAAAAAAAAAAAAAAAAAATAGGACCAATAATCTACCCTTGCTTTAATGCTAGTGCATCCAGTTTTGCTCTAATTATGACATAACTGGGGCAAAAAGAAACCAATTTTTTAGACTTTGAGTAACTTGTTTTATTGATAGGTTAAAATTACCTCTAAGAAATCCACGATTGGGTTACCGCTGTTAATTTCTTTTTGGAATATAATTAAGATATTTAAAAATGAATAGATTTCCATGTGCTACACATCCTTTATATCAGTAAAATTTATAATAAACTATGCACATTTAAAAAAGACTAGGTTTACCTTCTAATAACAGATGGATGTGCCATAAAACATTTTATATGTCAGGGTTTACCTTATGTTTCTTTGATCTATCTATCCATCCACACACACATCCCATCCTTTCTTCCTTCCCTTTAGAAACAAATAACATAGTTGTATGTATATACTCCAGTTATTGAGAAATTTTCCAAATGTAATAGTCTAAGGCAGATACCACAGGACACCAACCCACACAACCAATATTCACTCAAAGTCATTTACACAGAAATTCAAACTGCTTTTTAAGTCCATCAGCCATTTCTCTGCACTTAGGCACATCTGAATCACCAATACGTCAACCAAAGATTTCAACTCCATAAGGTTCCATGTGAACCATTTGATTTTTACTTAAAAGAATGACTCCATTTCTTAAGAACTCTCATGAAAAGGTCTAAGCCAGCATTTTCAAGTCAAGCATAAAAATCCTATGAGGTTTGTTAAAGATGCATAATCTAGGTCCTACCTACATCCATATTTTTACTCATTAGGCCTGGGATGGGACCTGGGAACCTGCAGTTTTAACTAATAACCCAGATGATTATGATGCAGGGAGTCTATGCACGTGGAGAAATACTGCTTAAACTCTCTGGCACCAGTCAAGTTTTTAGACTTACATGGTGAAAAAAATAAGCAGTTGCTAAAATGGAGTTTTCAATTACTGTCACAAAAGCAGATAGGAGACTGACAGCTGGGATCTCCTAGTAGAGGAGGTGAAGGGATTAAAAAACAATGCTCTTTGTGTGGCAAAATTACTCAGAATTTAGATTAAAGGAAGCACTGACAGAGGGGGAACAGAGAGGAACAAAAGGATTCTAAGATGTTCATGATGGAAGAAAAAGATACATTATGTGATTCAGACAAGGCTGGACAATCTCCACATTGTAGTTTTGGTTTCATAGTGAGAAAAAGCCAGAGGATGGCTTTTAGACTTGCAGCGATAGTGAGACTGGAAGGTGAGGTTTATATAAGTACCATCATCCTCTCCTCAAATAATGTTCATCAGCTAATTTGCTCAGTTTCATACATACCTGCAACCCTGTAGCCACCACTTCCAAAGCAAGGGGCCATAGCTACTGAAAACACAAAGTTGCAATGCTTGCTGAGCAGACTCTGAGTCTAAAACTATGAGTACCTGACTAGAGTACTAGCCAACAGAAATATATGAGCACAGAAGATCGCATACCAAGGGTACCAGACACCGTTTAAAATTCTGCTTCTTCCGTGATCTTCATCACAGGAACATGTTTCTGCAAAGTAATAGGATTCTCTTCCCCATGTTGGCAGGAAAATATTTTTTTTAATTGTTTAGAGAACTGGAGACTATAAGTAGTTAAAAACTGGAGGGAATTTGATCCTTGAGAGAAGGAAACCCACCCTGCGTTGAGATCCGTGGTTTACCTTGAATAAATACAATGCTAAATTCAATGTGTGGAGCTGACTGTTTACAGGTTCAAAACTAACCGTGGGTGATACGCTGGGGACAACTGAGGAAACGTGAATAACAACTGGATATTAGTTCATATTAAGCATAACTGTAATTTTCTTTGGTATGACAATGGTACTGTGGTTATGTAGGAGTGGTTACTTTTACCGTGGTTACTTTTAGGAAATGAATATTAAACTGCATTTGAGGTTAAATGTCATGTCTGCAACGTACTTTCAAACAGTTCAGCAAAAACTAAGCAAAATGTTAACTATAGGATCTAGTGGTGGATCTATGGGTGGTCACTGTACTGTTCTTCAGCCTATTTGAAAATTCTCATAATAAAAGTTTTTTGGGGGGAGGGATGATGGGGGATACTTACGAGCATTCCTCAAAGACTTTGACCCTCTCACAGCCCTCAGGAGGTTCCCTTTTGAACATGTAACTGTTGTTAGGTTTTGGTGAGGTTGCATATTTGGGCAAAGGAGAGTTGTTCCCATTATCTGCAAGAAACGACATGCTGGATTAGTGAGAAACACTAGCACATACGTGCGGAGTCATACTGTATTGGGTTGTTCTTGGCCTCCCCCTACACCATGAATAACTCGAGGGTAAGGAATAGTGCTTCATTCATCCACATCACCCCACTACCTAACACAATTCCTGGTAAAGAGGAGATAATGTTTGTTAAATAAATGCATAAACAAGTAAGAGATTTTTATTTTTCTTCTACTTACCATCACCACAGCCTAGGTAGGTTATTATTTAACCTACCATCACTTACTCCTCAGCACTGAACACTCTGCCATATTTCTATTCTGTACACAGCATATTGGGCTCAAATGCCACTTCCATTCTTCCCAGGACAAGTAACTGAAATGGTTCTTCACTGGTTGTGTATCATTCACTCTTGGTCTGCCCCTCAGAATCACTCTATTTGATTTCTCTGTGCCTCTGGCCACAGTCTCTGCTGCAGGTGGTCAGATCCATATGCACACTATATGCCGAAGACTTTCTTTTGCCTACAAACTTCTCTATACCTAAGAGGTCCTTCTCCATACATTTTCCCAAACCTCCTTCAAAGTCTGGCTCAAAGTTTTTGAAATCTTTCTAAATTAACCCTACCAAAGGGAACACTTCTTGACTCTGGTATGCCCGTCCAGTGCTGATGTCCTCAGTTTCTATTATATTAACTTGAAATTCTAGACATGTTCCCTAAGTGTCCTAAATGTAGAGTCTGACTGTGCCAACTAAACTACAATTCCTTGCTGGCAATATAGCACTGTAGCCCTTTCTCATAAAAGAAATCAGAGGAGCTAACCAGTCGCTAGTCTCCTAAAGTCAAATACAGCAGGACATAAAACTTATGGAGTTCGTATATGTTATTGAAGTAAAAGTAGAAAGTATGGGAAATCAAGGGACAGATTACAATAGCCATGGTTTAGTTTGTGAGGAGAGGGGTACATCTGATTGAGCGCTAAGTACCAGGGGCTGCATTCACTATCCCCGTTTTTTTTTTGTTTTTTTTTTTTGCGGTACGCGGGCCTCTCACTGTTGTGGCCTCTCCCGTTGCGGAGCACAGGCTCCAGACACACAGGCTCAGTGGCCATGGCTCACGGGCCCAGCTGCTCCGCGGCATGTGGGACCTTCCCGGACCGGGACACAAACCCGTGTCCCCTGCATCGGCAGGCGGACTCTCAACCACTGCGCCACCAGGGGAGCCCTCACTATCCCTTTTAATCTTCACAATAAGTATCAGAAGTAATTATGGCGACTCCTGACAAGAAACACATGGCCCAATCAAAGGATTTAGTTCAGTGGGTGTCAAACTTCTGTGCAGGTGAATCACCTGGGGGCACCAAAAACGCCTAGTGCCTGTGTCCTGTCCCCAGGGGTTGTGATTTAATTGGTCTGGGGTGTTGGTCTGGAATAGCCATGTTTTATTTAACCTAGAAGATGACAAAAAAGGGTCCAAATAATAAAATTTTACAACTGCCCACTGTCTGAAGTGACTTCTTCAGAAAATCTTATATCCTCTGTACTTGCTACAGTCTAAGTACTTTAGGTGACTGGCAGTAATGAACAGCTGTCATTGGACATGGAACATTTCAGGACATTCAACACATTGCAAGTAGAAAGTTCTAAATGAATGACTACTAAACTAAGCTGTAGAATGTATTTAATAATAAATATCTTATTATTGCTCTCAAGTTCATGTAATAATAACTATGATTAGGCTAAAAAAACACTGCCCTGATACAGAGAGATGAAAGACCCTATTTGTTTTAAAAGGTAAGAATATTATTAGTAACTAATATGCAAAGTGCTATGTCTCCAATTACTTTCTGAGTCAGGCAAGTGGTTTAATACTGTAAGTAGCCCACCACCACCCCCTTTTACTCCAGGCTTGCCTGGAATACTCATCTTGCATTGATATAAGTCAGCTTAATTCTTGTTAGACATATCACAGGGCTTCCCTGGTGGCGCAGTGGTTGAGAGTCCGCCTGCCGATGCAGGGGACACGGGTTCGTGCCCCGGTCTGGGAAGATCCCACATGCTGCGGAGCGGCTGGGCCCGTGAGCCATGGCCGCTGGGCCTGCGCGTCCAGAGACTGTGCTCCGCAACGGGAGAGGCCACAACAGTGAGAGGCCCATGTACCGCAAAAAAAAAAAAAAAAAAGAAATATCACAAATACAGATCCTAAAACACACTACTGTAACTTGAAGGTTTCACATTCAATTAAAAAGTAGTAAGATTGTAAAAACATGACAACTAAGGTGATAGAGAACAAATGCTTATCAGGACAAATGTTTATCTCATTTATACCAAAAAGAATGTCTCTCACTAATAAGGAACTTGTATTAGTAAGTGCAAAAAAGGAAAAAAAAAAGGTACAAACAAAAGCCCATAACCTACCCAACTAGACCATCACCTGAGCACCACAGTAAAACCTACTGTTTTGTACTCCAATTTTTTTAAATCTATGTTTGAACACATCTCAAAGTAATTATCTTAGTAGCCCTAAGTGTGTATGCTCTGCTAGAAAATGAACAGAATGCATGATACAACACGTGGTATTCACTTATCATCTGGTAGCAAACTCCTCCTGCACTGTACCTTTATCCCTGGGATCAACAAGCAGGTCATCAGCCGAACAAGGGCTCTCCTCGCTCCCCTCGTTGGAGATAGTGAGGAAGGACGTGGGGGACACAGACTGGGAGCGGCTGCTGCTGTTGCTCCCCCGCTCTGCCCCGCCGGGGGTCTGCGTGTCGATGCTGCGCGTGCTGCTGCTTCTCTGCACAAGGGGCGGAGGTGCACGATGGCCGTCTGGAATATCTTGTGGCTGTTATGAAATTTTAAAAACGTAAGTATTTTTGTCATTGATTTTGCATATAACCTATGCACATCCTCCTGTATACTTTAAATCATCTCTAGGTTTCTTATATACCCTAATACAATGCAAATGCTATGTAAATAGTTGCTGGTGTGTGGCAAATTCAAGTTTTGGATTTTGGAACTTTTTGGAATTTTTTTTTTTTAAATTTTTTGGCCGTGCCGCATGGCCCGTGGGATCTTACTTCCCCGACCAGGGATTGAACCTGCGCCCCCTGCAGTGGAAGCACAAAGTCTTAACCACTAGACCGCCAGGGAAGTCCCTGTCATTGATTTTGAAAGGCACCTAACGTCACCCTTCCCCTGTTGTTCCAGAAGACTCAAAAGTCAGAAACCCTCTCATCAGGCCTCGCGAGAAAGAAGCCTCTGTGTTGCTCTGTGGGGACACCCCTGTCTCATCTGTTCCCCGCTGGACACTGAGCGGCAGACAGAGCCTCTGTATTCTCAGGGTCTGGCACATGAGTGGTCAGTGCTTGCTGAAGAATGAACTGCACTGAATTGCTTACCATGTGCTATTATTTTTAAAATTATAAAAAAACAGGCCATTATAAAAGAGGAGAAATCTAGGTGTAACTCTAGGTTCCACATTAGAAGAAAAGGTTATCCACTGTGTGAACTAGTCATAGTTGATGACAGACCCTGCTGCTTTCTACCCCTGCCCACTTCCTTCAAGAACAGGGTTTTCAAAGAAACCTTCCTAAGTGAGAGAAAGCTTAATCACAGCAGTGCTAATTATACAGGGAAATCAAGGAGAACACTCAGAGGGAAGCTTGTGTGACTCACTCAGCAGGGAAACCAGCTCCCTGTATACCTTTGGTACATTTACCTTTATTACATCAAAGAAAGTTTCCCCGTCATTCAGTGGAGGAGGGAAGGAGGAGAGGGTGTGGGCAGTTGCGTTTTCTCTAAGCTAAACCAACCTGTAATCTTAAGGGAGAGAATCTTAGGTGTCAATAAAACACTACTTTAAACTCCCCAATTTCTCTTTCACTGAAGAATGAAAGCTTAAATATACTGTGACATGGTTTTAAATATAAACAGGAAATTTTATCACTGTCTTATATATGAACCACTCTTGTGCGTGTCATAGTTAATAGAATACACATTCTTATGTGTATTATAGGTAAGCAGAACTGTGCTTCGATGATACAGTCAACCAAACAGTGACTAACATAAGCAAGAGGTAGATTCATACTTTAGAAAGTATTCCATGTCATATCCCTCCCTCCCCAACAAACTCATAAGCTAAACTTCTGTTAAACAGAGTTATAGCCAATAAGAAGCATATCACCTGTCTAGGGGTTTTTAAATACAGAAAAACAAAAAATAGTTTCTGTTCAAGGATCCAAATTTAAGTCACATCAGTTGCTTCTATGAGATGCAAAGAAATGAGGACTTTTCATTCACTTGCAAAGGTCAAAGTTTTTCAAAAGAGAAAATTTTCATTCTCAACAAGGAAGAAGCCCATGTAAATACAGAAACCAAAACTGTGAATTTTCTTAATAATTAGAAAAGTTAATGTATGAATGATTTTAAGATACAAGAGTACTTACTATAAGTTGTTCTTCCTTTTCCCCAGTCTCTTTAATTATTATTTCAATCTCCTGATTCAATCCTTCCACACTATTCCGGAACCGGGAGCCTGTTGATTTGGTGATGGGAATTACTGGAATAAGTGCACTCTTTGGAACAGGAGCCTTAAGAAAAAGTGGTGGAGGTGGGAGAAGATACACTTAATACTACCTTTAAGTTCTCTAGATGGAAGCATACTTCCATTTGACATGGTTAACTCTAAAATAAATCAAAATAAAATTTATAGGCCTCACAAAAACTGTGAAAACCCAAACCTGCTCCTTGGTATACATGAAATATAATTTAAAGCCAAAACCCCAGACAATCAAGGGAGAATTTCAGAAGTTTATTCACATCTATGAGGGACTATAAAGGGTATAGAGATAAAGGAAAATACTAAAAGAATGTTAACCTCAGATATTCCTTTATAACAGAGTTCAGGTTTCAGAACATAACTTTAAAGTCCTCTAGTGCCATAATTATATATATTCCAGGAAGTAAACAACAAACAGTAATTTATCAAAAAAAAAAGAAAAATATTTTGGTGGAAAAATAAAATCACTTCCAAAGTCCATACACAGTAGCAAGATTACAGAATAACTTCCCTGTGAAATTTATTTGTACTGTCATTGTAATGATATTAATATGTTTTGCTCCAAAGCCTATCTCTAATTTTTTTTAAAAAAATTTCCCACTGGCACAGTATTACTTTTGAAAAGAAATATCTGATTATATTACAGGATGTCACTTGGTTTCCTGACAAATACTCAAAATAAAATATGAAACAAGAATTGCGAGGTATCTGCCAAAGTTCATAGCAACAGTGTGCCAGAAGATCATCTTGTATTGTCCTGCTGTCTGGTAAAGAAATGTGATTAATCTATCCTTCATTTAGGGAGGTTTCTTTGGAAAACCTCCCTCTCAGAGAAAAGTGGAAGCAAGGAAACAAAGGTAGTAACAGGGCCTCTAATCAGTTACCACTAGTTTCATTTGATAACCTTGTTGTCTGACACAGAACTTAATGTTAAACCTGTATTTCTCCTTTTTTATTCCTGCACACCTTTGTAATTAAAAAAAAGAGAGAGAGAGAGAAAAAAGCACAACACAAAAATCCTGGGAAACCAAAGCAAGACATTTGTTAGAAAAAAAGTCAAAGGGAAATCAAAGGGAAAGCTTCAATCTGGAGTGCTGAGGCAGCACTTCTTCATTGCTTAGTTATGTTGGGCCCCGAGTCTCACCTTCCTCACATGTAATATGAGAACATGGCACTCCACCTCAGAGAGTGGTTCTGAGAATGAAACGAGAGGACAGGGGTGCAGTGCCTGGCCCAGAACAGATGGATCCTCAGTAAACAACAAACAGCTACAATTTTTATTTTGTGTTTTCCCTATTATGTATTTGTGTTTTCCCTATTTTATTCTTCTCTTTCCATAAATTTTTTCAAGTACCATTTATTTTCTTCTACATATGGAATCTTCTAACTTTCCCACTTTTCAATCCTTCTGTTCCCCAGTCTTCTCCCCATACCCTCAAGCTTCTCATATTACTTATTTCCTTTTCACTTCCATCTCTCTTCTTTCTGTCCCATCTTCTAGTCTCAATATCCACTATCAAAGGAAGGAATATGACAAATCTTAAGTTTAGATATTCTATAGTGTTTTATAGAGAAAATTTATATAATTAAATTTTTTTCAAGTCCACATCTTTGAGTCATTCTCTACATGGTAGATCTTTGGGGCACTGATATACCATTTCCAAAATTGTTTGTTGAGGAAATCTTTGCCATGTCTTTGCCATGAAATCAAGGCCATATGTCTATTCTCTTGGTCTACTTCCTTTTCTCTGAAAACTTGTCCTGGTTAGACGCCTTCAGATTCCATGAGTGGTAACAACTCTCCACCCAACTTGGCAGGTGGCTAAAGCACAACAGCATCACAGATCAAGTACTGGTTGGAAAATAAAACCTGAACTCAATGACACTCTATACTTAACAAAATTTAAATTTCACATCACCTCACGTCAGCTAAACTATAAATTCCAAGTAACAAAGAGTGGCCTATAAGAACAATGAGATTTTTAAAAGGTGAATGAGAGAATTATTTTGCAAATTTACAAACAGAAAATCATGGGAGTAAAACTTGATTAAAACTATTCATATAGGTCTTCAAAGGTTTAGCTCTCATATTTCTTTTGATTCCCTCTTTCTTCAAATAAAAACATAGATACTGCCTATATGGGAAAGAATCTGAAAAAAAAAAGAGTGGATATATGTATACGTATAACTGATTCACTTGCTGTACACCTGAAACTAACACAATAGTATAAATCAACTATACTCCAATAAAAATTTTTAAAAAACCAAAACACAAATGCTATGTTCAGGGGAAAAAAAGCAACTAATTTCTCAGCATTTTCTGTTCTACCTATTGGAACAAAGTCTCATCTATCCCAAATATTTCACAAAAGTGGAGTTAAAGAACACTCTTCCTTTATCTCTGAAAGTTTATCTGACCAAAAGCCAATATATACATATGCAACACACACACATTTATATTTCACACACACAAAAAGACTATTCTTCCAAAATGTCTAGAGTAAAAAGCTATACTTGGGTAGAGGAATCTCAGGTGATATATTTTTCTTTTAGATTATTTTTCTGCAACCAACCTGAGAGGAGAAACTATGTCTTACTCATCTCCTTATTGCCACTGCCTAACAGAATCTAGAACAGACGTGATGCTTATTTGACAAGGCTGGTGTTATGAATTGAGTATCTGTATCCCCCTAAAATTCACATATTGAAGCCCTAACCCCCAATGTGGCTATATTTGGAGATGGGGGCTGTAAGGAAGTAATTAAGGTTAAATGAGGTCATAAGAATGGGGCCCTGATCCAACAGAATTGGTGTCCTTGTAAGAAAAGACACGGGAGAGCTCACTCACTTGTGCTCTTCTTCCTCTCCCCCTCCACACACACGCACCAAGGAAAGGCCATCTGAGCACATGAGAGGGCAGCCATCTGCAGCCCAAGGGGACATCTCACACCAGACACTAACCTTGCTGGCACCTTGATCTTGGACTTCCAGTCTCCAGAGCCATGAGTAAATTAATTTCTGTTGTTTAAGCCACTCGAGCTTATGGTATTTCACTATGGTAGCCCATGCTGACTGATACACTCACCCTTAGCTTTATTCTTCATTTTTAGTTTTCAACACTCTAAAGAGACTACTTAAACTTAATCCTGAGATACAGTAGCTTGAGAGAACTTGAATATGGCCATAAAAACTTTACTCTGAGACACTATTTTTAAATGGCATTGTTTTCTTTATTGCAAAAGTAATAAGTATTCACTGAAGAAAAATAAATGGGATTGTTACTAATTTGATAAATATCCTTCTATCTAGCCCTTTTCTTCTGTGCATAGACACTTTTAACCAGAAATAGATTGTAACTTGTGTTTTGTAACTTATTTTTTTACTTCCTATTTCCCTAATTTTACTTCCCAATTCCCTAATTCCTATTTCTTTCTATGCTTTAAAACACTTATTTACCAAATCATTTTTATAGCTGCATAGTATTTCATTGTATAAGTGTATGAAGAAGTCAGTGTCCTGTTATTGGCCAAATAGTTTCCAATTTTTCACTATTCAAAAAAAATACTGGCAATTCCCTGGTGGTCCAGTGGTTAGGACTCTGCACTTTCACTGCCGACGGCTTGGGTTCAATCCCCGGTCAGGGAACTAAGATTTCACAAGCCACGCGGCCCAGCCAAAAATAAAAAAAGAAAACAAAAAAAAATGCTGCCATAAACATCCTCTTAGATGAGTATTTGCACACATATGTAAATACTTCCTTAGGATACAATCCTGGAAGGACTAATGGCTCAAAATGCAAGAAAGATTTTCAGGATTTTGATTCATATTGCCAAACTGAGCAGCAAAATATTTTTACTCCTTACAATATCTGCACCTCCATGTTCATTACCGCATTCATAATATTCACAGTAACTATGACATGGAAACAACCTATGTGTCTGTTGATGAATGAATGGATAAAGAAAATGTGGAACACACATAAACGATGAAATATTATTCAGCCATGAAAGAAATCCTGCCATTTGCGACAACATGGATGGACCTTGAGAGCATTATGCTAAGTGAAATAAGTCAGACAGACAAATACTGTATACTGTATGTTCTCACTTATATGAGGAATCTAAAAAAAAACACAAACTCAAAAAATAAATTAAAAAAATTTTAAAATAAAAATAAAAGTAAACCAAACTCATAGAAACAGAAGTAGATTGGTGGTTGCCAGGGGCAGATGGGTGGAGGAAATGGGTAAAGACAGTTAAGAATACAAACTTCCAATTACAAGATGAATATGTTCTGGGGATCTAATGTACAGCATGGTAACTATAGTTAACAACACAGTATTATATACTTGGAAGTTGCTAAGAGAGTAGATCTTAAAAGTTCTCACCAGAAAAGAAAAAACAGGTAACTACATGAGGTGATGGGTGTCTTAACTAATCTTACTGTGGTAATAATTTCACAATATATACATATACCAAGTCATCACACTGCATATCTTAAATACACAATGTTATGTGTCAATTATATTTCTATAAAGCTGGGGAAAAAGGAAAAGAATGATACACGATATCTTCAAAGTTGCTTTTTAAAAAACTTTTGCCCTATGAACGACACTGTCAAAAGAATGAAATACTAATTCAGACTGGGAAAAAATATTTGTAACTCACATAGTCAACAAAGGACTTGTATCCAGAATATATAAAGATATCTCAAAACTCAGTAATAAGAAAACGAACAACCTGATTTAAAAATGGGCAAAATATTTGAACGTACACTTTACCAAACATGATATACAGATGGCAAATAACCATATGAAAAGATGTTCACTAGGGTAATGCAAATTAATATCAAGATGCAATGTCACTACACACCTATTTGAATGGCTAAAATAAAAAATACTGACAATACCAAGTGCTGATGAGAAAGCAGAGCAAAGGAGATACTCAAACACTGCTGTTGGGAATGCACAATGGTACAACCATTCTGGAAAAGTTTTACAGTTTCTATTAAGTTCAAGATACAATTACTATA